TTTGAATGCTTATATCCTTTTAGTAGTGGATTAGCGACATTAAGGTCGCGTTACTTGTTGAATAAAGCAATAAATCACGACGGAATTATTAGTGTGTTGCATAACTATCTTCCGAAACAAACTTCCTACAAGTTCATCGTAGACTGCTTTGTAATTCACAATGAAGTACCATTTTTATTTTTTCAGAAAAGGGTCAGCGAATAAGTAGGATGAGCGCTACTTGTTATTATAGATTAACCTTTTTCAGATTTAATTGGTGTTGTATCAAGTATTGATGAATGTAAAACATTCTACAATAGATCTAAAAAACAATACTGTTCTAAAAGAGATATCATGATTACTGATGAAGACGCATCCATAATGTTCACACTATGGGAGCAACAGGTAATTTCATGTAGTAATTATGCTAACAGTGTGATATCTGTATATTCAAATTAGGCAGAAGCTTTTGACATCACAATAGGATCTATTATTGCTATCAAAGGTGCAAAAATATGCGACTTTTACGGTAATATTAAAATTTCAACTAATACAAGGGAAAAAACATAAAGAAATTCATGCTATTGAAGTAAATATCAATGAGATCTCTTTGTCAGAAGTTGTTGAATAAAGTAAAAGCAATCTTGAAAATTTAACTTTGTGATTAAAAAAGATTATTATCGGTCATGATATTTTGAAAATGTTCTTCAAAATTTAGTATTGAATTCATATGCTGAAACATCCAATATCTGTGAAACGAATATATTTTAATACTGCATACTGCAAGACTATCAATTTTATTTGGTGTGTCAAATATTTTGTTACATAAGCATTTAGATTTGTTAAGTCGGTCTGCATATTGTTAATGCATTCATCATTAAATTATATAATTGTGAAAAAATCAATCGTAGTAAGATATATAATTTCTACCCTAAAATAATGAGTAGCACAAATACTTTGTTATAGTATAAAGATGAATTCTAATGTAATGTATTGCTTTCTGACAAAAGCTATTATTTGAATTAAAAAAATAAAATTAGTGACAACGTAGTCTAACGATAGTGATCCACATTTCATTAGTTCATCTGATAGACGGTAGTTTATAAATTCAACTATTGTTATGAAAGAACTGAAAATATGACATCAATATGAAACAGAACTTTGCTTATTGTTTCTCAAGAGATTTATACTTTTAGGGAAAAGTTTATCAAACATGGATTCAACAATTATTCGATGCAATCTTCCAAGGACAGATCGTACTATAGAATTGGAAGGAGTAAGAAAATCGCTTGCTTCTCCAAGTGCCGGTGTATATTGTTTGACAAATGCAAGTCAAACAGACTGTATATATCATTTTTTTTATAAGTCAAAGTATTATCATTTATGCTGTGAATAAAATATTTGTTTTCAGGGAATGTTGCAACAATACAACAAGTACTCGCAACTGAGCTTGATGTGATGAAACACAAAGGAACTCAATATTTTAATGTCAAAGGTTATTGCCATGTAACAAATCAAAGATGTGCAGTCTACATAGTACAATGATATTATTAAAAAAATTTTAAATGCTTGCTCACCATCTATTTTGTTTATAGTGTTGCCCAATTGAAAACTGTAATAAAAAATTAGATGATATAGGAAATTGTGTGTTTTTTTGCCAAAAATGTAAAAGCCAGCAAAAAGATTTTAAATGGGGATATTGTTTGACGGTAAAATTAACGATAAAAAAGATATTTTAATGTATTTAAAGTTTGAAGCTTTTTTTGTATTCTCAGTGTTATATTGTTGATCAAACAGGAAAAATGTATGTACACATACTTGGTTCAACCGCTGAACATCTACTTGAGATTAAAGCTGATTTATTTCACCAGTATCAAGAAGATGTAAGTCAGCACATTTAAACGAATTATTTATTAATTTTTCGTGACAGTCTGATACAACGAAATATGAAAACATATTAATGCAAGCAGCTGCAAAGAGTCGAATATTAAAAATATGTTCAAAAGCAGTTGAATACAATGTAAGTAATCATACGAACATAAGTCTCATTCATATAATATAATGATTACTAGAGAATGAGCATATTGTAAAAATATTTATAATAGAATTGTATATATCAATACATTGTGTGTGTTTTTAGGGTCAACGTACAGTACAATACAAATGTATAAGCATATGTTGAGAGGTTCACGATCATGTTTATTTTGGAAGATAAACAACAATGTTGTTTAGTTTTCAAAAAATAAAATTTCTCTTTTTATAGTATGTTAAGTGTTAGGGTCTAGATTAATAAAGTGTTCCATTTGTTATTGGATGTTTAAAATAACATCTAGATATATCTGTTTGTTTTAGATTTGATGAATAATAAATTATTTTTTTCATTTTTTGTCAAGGATTATTAGAAGAATTTTTTTATGCGATAGATGGAACTTTTAGAAGAATCTGGAAAATGTGAAAAACGTTCACCATTATGCGTAAATTCTCCATTGATAGCGATGGATGAAGAATGTTGTCACCCATGTAGCCGATTTTACGAAATAATGGACATTGCAATGCATTATTTTCCTATAGAGATGCAATGGATGCAATTACATGATAATGCAACCTATTTAATGCATTATAATGTATTAGGATGAACACGTTTCATGGATGAACAATGCATTGCAATGCGTTATGTACAAATAATTCATTATAATGTATTAAATAGGTTGCATTATCATGTAATTGCATACATTATTATATCTAATGCGTTATAATGCATTGAAAACTTCATATTCGGCACTGGCTACGCAAGATCTATATAATCCTATTAAATCGATATTCTAATCACGATAATGGTATCTCTGTGGTTCTGCACATCTATCCCCTTAACTTAACCCCTTAACCTTAATCTATTAACTTATCTATATCTATCTCTCTAACTTAACGTTACCCCTTAACATTCATCAACCCTCGCATAGATATATATATAACGTATCATTTTGATCATATCGATAAGAATCTAAAACAAAAGACAATGAATGAATGAATATGTTTATTATTATTAAGTTCGAACTTACCATTTCGAGCATAATCGATATCAACCTAAAACACAGAAAAAAGAAATAGAAATAATTTTAATATTGAATTGTAACTTACCATTTCGAGCAGATCGATAAGAGCCTAAAACAAAAGACAATGAATAAATAATTTTATTATTATTGAATTCAAACTTATCATTTTAATCATGTCACATTGTAGTCGAAACCGAGAACAGTTCAAGAACGTATAGATGATATACAGCTGTTTCAATAGTATCAGAATGCTTTCAACTTTGGAAAAAAATGAATTCATAGAGGGAATAATGCTTGATTGAATCGGTTATAGTTGATACTGTGAGCAGTTTTAGTTTACTATATGCATCCGAAACTCAGCAATGACGAAGAGGGAAAACTTCTTTTGAGAGGTTTGAGCACTGTGATCTCTATCATTCTACAGAATATTCTAAAAATATTCAAAGGTCTAGTAGTCTTTTTTGCATCAAATAAAAACTCGATAATCGTATTTCGATTCGCTAGTAGACATTGTCGCGATTGAATAAACTCGGAAACTCTTAGGCTTGCCCGGGGAAATATTTTGGAAACTGAAAGGGTAATCTGATATACTTAATTAGATTTTAACTCGAGTATTCAATAGTGTAGGTTTACTTGAAGACTCTAGTGATTTCTGAAAATGCGACTAGGTTTCCATTATCGGGAAAAGGGGATTCAAAATATACTCTGAGGGCTGTAACTCAGGTTACATTTTTTATTAGTTCTTTAACTTGCGTGACTCTTATTATTGAAAAGCGTCTGATACAGAGAAAGCTGGGTTAAATCAAACATCTACCAGTCAAATCCCTTTTTCAATATCTCTTTTACGAAAATGGTGAATTCTCTAGCTTAATAATATTACTCTAAATAATGCATTGAAATGCATTGAATAACAATGCATTATTCTCAATTTCTACATTATATCTGATAATGTATTGTAATGCATTGAAACTTTACTTCTTCTCAAACCATTTTCACATTATTAGAAATAATGCATTGAGATGTATTGAAAATTTAGGTATTATGCTTCATTTTCAGCATTATTTGGAATAATGCATTGAAAAGTCAAAAAATAATTAATTATAATGCATTAGGTCATGTGTTTTTTCAAATAATGGAAAATAATGGGTCATTTTTCCATTATTTATCCATTATCGGCTACATGGGCAGTTCAAAGTAATAATTTGATTGCAAATATTCTGACTTCTTTAGAATATTTACAGGATAGTTCTATTGGTATCAATGTTCAGCATTGCCGAGAAAAATTCAAGAAGATAAAAATGAGCGCCTCTACTAGCGATCAAATAGCAACTGACATTGATGAAGAATGTGAAGAGTATGAAATATCAAATGATAATCTATTCGAAAAAGTTTCGATGAGTACTCAAACGGCTAATAACATTTCCACTGTTGCCACGCAAACTCCTTGGATTGTTTACATACAGAAAGAGCCAAACTCATCATATGTTGCAGTGGACGCCGATGGAGCAAACCTATCAGAGGCTAAAAACTCATTCATATTGAATCAGAATAACTATCTTGATAAATTTAACCTAGAAAGTGATCCTGCATATGTATGTGATGAAGAATTATATGATTTTTTAAATAAAATTAAAGGATAAATATATCTTCTACTGTTTTAAATATTCTTTTATTGTATGATGTTTCGTGGAGTTTAAACGTACAATCCATTCCTTTGATGGGATGAGATGTTGACCGTAGCAATATTCTATAGAATGGTATAAATTAAAATTAGCTGTTATATATAGATTTTCTGTGTCAGATATTCAATGCTCAGTTATCAAATTTACTTTGCAAGTCATAAACTTTAGATAACATTGATAATGAATGCTTGGCATAGAACAACAAATAAATTACCGGTTTCTCGAACAAACTCAGAACAATTTGCTATAATTCAACAGTTTTTAACAAAATTTTATTTACATGAAATTGATTTTTGGTTCATCTGGATAGTATCTATTCTGTGTATGATGCTGAGCGGACCGAACGAATAACAGCTCAATTGCGATCAACGTTTGGATTCGATCATAATATATCCGATGCATCGGTACTTCTTGACTTCTTTTCGAATCATTCTCGACAACCACAAGCTTGGCATCATATAAATATTGATTGACATTTAATTACTGATGCAGGCGCTCACTATGTAGAACCATTCACAACAATGTGTCCTGATTGTAATGAACAGTTGAAAATAAATGATTGTACAAAGATGATGATTTACATTTGTTATCAACGTGGTAAAGTATTACCAGGTATAAGTTGTAAAATGACTTCAATATATGAAAAAGTGTCGATATCTATTAAAAGATCCAAGATATTATTTGAATTGTATGACTTTTACATGCTCGTAATCTGAAGAGAAAATACTTAATTTATTATGACAAAAAGTTTCATATAGTTTTTAATAAATATTAGCTAATAAACATTTTATTTTCGTTTATTATTCGGGCTCTTCAAGTAGGAATAGAACGGTTGAGCCATAGACACATAATTTAACATTTGTATGACATCTGATAATAATTAGTATCGGATTGTTTATTGCTCACCATGATTAGAATACCGTAAGTATAAGAAGGGCATTTAAGTAAGAACAAATTTGCTCTTTCATAGAATTTCAATAAGGAAAAAAATTGATTTTTTTATAGTTGGATTTCTTTAAGTATAAAGATATTTAATTGTTTCTCTTATCTTCAAGGGACTGTGTATTGGTTCAAATGCGTACATAAGAAGTATAAGTGCAAAAATAAAAAGCAACCTCTCAAGATATATCCTAATTTTACAGAACAAGTTGAAACTAAGAAGATAACAGCGACGAGTCTTTACAATGGTGAAATCGTTTATATAGGTGGTAAATATGCATTTTAACGTGCACTAATAGAAGAATATGCAGCTAATTTAGTTACTAATGCAAACTCCTGGATGAAAACAGTTGATAGTTTAAACCTGCAGGCATTTAATGGCGAAACAGCATCAAGAAACCATTTTGGAACGTCGAACATTAGCGCGTATTAAGTACATTTACAGTATTGTCCAGTTACATTTATTTTTAGGTGCTAAGCATGTGGAAATACCAAAATGTTTAGATAAGTTTGATGATTGAGCTTGGAGTACATTTTCTCGACTTCTAAAACCATTTATTTTTTTCTGGTCTCGACATAAGGAAATAATTACCTCGCGTGACGAGAATAAATGTTCAAAAGCGCTGGTGGTCGACGGTCATCAAAAATGTCGAAGACGTATTTGTAAAGTAAAGGAAATTGAAATAAAAACTGGTCTCTTTGATAAGATGCTTGTTGGATGTTGCCGTACTCCAGTTCGTTATTCGCAGTACTGTGAACTTCATTTGAATGAAAATAAAGAAGCGGCTGATTGTATTAAGAAAGTCCCAGGTCGCAAGGTTTTTAATCATTCAGGCTTTTCTTTATTCAAAACAAGAAGCCGAAAAAAACAAAGAGGTTTTGGGGCAACAAGTTGTCGTACTGTTAAAGCAAGATCAGATGCCTACATCCGCAAATGTGCTCGAAGTTTCGGTGTGATAGCTGCTGTAACAAACTGCGGTGTTGTAACTACATTTGGCGAAATTTTTAGGACAGAAACATTGAAAGAGATTTTGCAGTTATTGACTAACAGTATAAAAGGTATTCTTTTTAAATATATGAACATATTTCACATTAAATTAATGAAATTATCATTTTAGTATCAGGTGTAATACCCAAAACAGCTGCTTATGATGACGGTTGTCATTTGGTTGAGTATCTTCATAAACATCTCGGTAAAGATCTTAATAGCACAGCTGCTGCAAACAGCCTGGCTCAAGTAAAGTTTAGTGTCGACAGAACACATTTTCGTAATCATGTTGGAACCTGGTGTCGAGCCAATATGAATCCAAATGATAATCCTCGTAAGATTTAGGAGATGTTCAACTGATGAACGACATTTTTTATTCAACGTTTACAGTTCTTACAAACGTGAATACACAGACGACAGAACAAATTTTTAGCTGGCTCAAGGACTATGCAGCGATTATAAGTAGCCTTGGCTGGAAAAGAGCATCGGTGTTTCTTCTACTAATATTTCATCATAAAAACTTGATAACAACACACGCAAAATGCACCTCAGTGTTCGATATAGTGACTAATTTCTAACTGATGAGGCGGTAACATAATACTAATCATATTTTCTGTTTTTCTAGCCTCATGAAATTCCACATATACCTGACATTAGCTTAATGCATCTAGCAGACGAAATGTTGACCTCGAATTATACTACTAATTCATCGAAAAATGTCACTTCACGTAAACAATCCATTGCAAGTGTACTTGAAAACTCAACAACAACTATACTAACTAAGAAGCGGAAAACAGTAACATTACAAAATGATTCTCAACAACAACAAAAACAGGCTACCGGTGTCTATTCAAAGACTGATTGGTCTGCCCAAGTGGAAAGAATTATCAAACAAAGCAGCTCCATAAAGGAAAATTTTTAAATATCCTCGATACAACATATAAGAATATTCTGACTCAAAAATTAGCAGAACGTGTTGCAAGAATATTTTATCGTGCTAATTTTTCAATAAAACAATCTCATTCATTTTGAACATCCTCTTCACAATGTAAAAGTACTATTAGCATGGCCGAAACGTCCTACAGAAATTTCCTCGTAATGGCAAAAAATCCGCTACAGAAAAGGCATGTCTGCTGGTAGTATATTAAAAGCTGCATAGTTATAGAGGGAAAGTCCTAGCAAAGTCCGCTGGTATTACAAAAGATCCGCTGGAGAAAAGAAAAGTCCGCTCACGATATATAAAGAACGTGCAGTTATAAAAGAAAAATCCTTTTGTGTATAGAAAAGTACTGTTGGAGTAAAAGAAAAGTCCTAGCAATGTCCGCTGGTGTTATAAAAGATCCGCTGACAATATATGAAGGAACATTTAATCAAAAGTGAAAGATCCTTTTATCTATTGAAAAGTCCTTTAAAGGTCCTCTGAAAAGAAATATAAGAAATTTTATCTATTTTTGTTTGGTAAGTGAAGTCCTGTTTAACATTACAGGACTTTTAGTAAAGTGGACACTTTTCGGACCTTTGACAGCCCTCATAATAACTAATCATAATGCTTTTTTAATTTTCGGATGGCTGTCTTTGGTTTTTTATTTCGATATCGCATTTTCCACGTTTCCCCAAAGGTAGATTACTTTCAGAATTTTTCTAAATTTATTTTAAAATCTATATATCATATGATAGTTGTTAATGTCGTGTAAAATTTATTTCCCTTGTTATTGATCAGTCGCTTTTAAATAGCAGAGCTTTTGATCACCTGCATTTTTTTATTCTTTCGCATTGGAATTTCGAATGTGTTTCAAGTATCTTGTTATTACTTCTTGCTTGAGATTTTGGTTTTGATTAGCTCCGATGACGATCAACACATAGTTGACAGTCGTTTCTTGAAAGAGTTCACTGAAAAAAAGAAGGTGCCACACGAAATCCGAAAGGGTTCCGAATTTTGAAACGAAATCGAAACCCTTTTAGATTTCGCTGAATAGAGTACTCCACCGCTAAAGCAGTTTTGCACCACTATTCAATGCAAGACTCATGCATAAATCTCTGCATTCGCAGCTCTCTCAACAACAAAAACACTGGTGATCTCAATCTGTATAACGTATCGTCTTAGGGCTCCATCACTACTATTCCGATTGTCATCTATTGGGCTACACAACACAACGTTCACTATCTTAGTGCTGAGACTCTCTCATCGAAACCTAACAGACAAGAGCTTTTCACTTCCCTCTCATGGGAACAACTATACTATCTGTCCTATCAAACCGAGAACAAGTCAATGCAGATAATTCCTTTTAGAATGGCACTCACAAAGGATATTATTCTTTTGCATGAGCTTTATGGAAAAATTATTGATTCTCTTGATACGTTAATCAAAATAATACCATTGCTGTCAAGAACGTAAATAGCAGATATTCGAATATATTAATTATACTTACTACCTTACGAACGATAGAATTCTTCATAAACCTAAATGGAGAATAAACGAATTTATTATTTTGAATAGTAGCGTATTCAATAATTGAATTATTAGCGAACTAAAATAGAAGATAAACTGATTTATCATTTCTAATCAGTATTTACTAATTATATAATTCAAGAAAAGCCTTAATAGAAACAAAAATAAATTTCATTTCTCATCCTAAATTACCGATCATCGAATACTGAAGGAACTAAAATAGAGGATGAACGAATTTATCGTTTATATTAACAACTTACCAACAGTGCAATTATCCCAAGAATCCAAATAAAAGAAAAATGAATTTATTAATGCTTATAGTAACTAACCTTTAATACGAAAAAGTATAGCTCAAGTGTGATATGATATAAGTGTAAATTCTATAGCCAAACTTCAAAACTTGAATTATCACTAAATAAAGAAAAGAATGAAATGTGAAGAAAAATACAATAAGATACGCACATCAAATAGCTGTTGTTACAGATATAGCAATTGTTTTTGGGGTAATAATTGAAATACAGGAACTACTGGATCGAAGATTTAATCTAAAATAATTAGTTCAATATAAAACAAAACAATAGTCTTAACAAAAAATATAGCATTGTGGTAATCATATTCCGCTAAAAAACAACCAATAAATATGTTGCACATTTTTTATCGTAAGCACGGGAATCTGATGAGGGAAAACAGTTAGCGTTGAATGTAATAAAGGGCTTTCCAGAATGAGTTCAGACGTCTTTCAATGAGATTTGATGAAAAATGACTGAATGAAATTATGAAAGCAACAATTAATTGTATCATTAGTCATGTAGTTGCTTTGTTGTATGCGATGTGCAGAGAGATCGCTTTTGTTTTTTTACGATATGCCATGAATAAGTTGTCTTCACGAGCTACTTACCAAACCTTTTTGAATGCAAAACTCAAAAGGGTTTATGACGAAACCTATTGTAACGCACAAATTCGAAACAGTTCACAACGAAACCGTTTTAAATTTCGAAATTCTTAAAAGTATATTGCAAAACTTTGCATTTTGCTGAATCTTGTACATATTTCGTATACTTCCACGGACACCTAAAACGTATAGTACAGCTCCAAGAAACCTCGAAGGCTCCGTTTGGCACCTTTTTTCAGTGTATGTCAGTATAAATGAAGACCAACACCCGCACTCTTGAAAAGTATTTCTCTTACGCTGAGAAAAAGACCCGACGTTAACATGCGTGTTTCCAAGAAAAATGTCTCAAATCAATAAATATTAATTTCCTTCCTATTTTCAAGAAGAAAAAAATTTAAAAGTTTTATAATATGCTAGAAAACCAAGGGAGAAAAAGTACGACTTCCGTATTTCGAAGTATTGGTTCATTAGCTTAAATAAACAAAAAATAATGAACTTGCTAATCTTGTCTTGTTCAATATATTACAATGATTGGCGTGTGTCACAAATCTTTGATTAATTGCAACAGAAATTTTAATTGGTTAATACTTATACAAACGAAGATTAATTTTCGATCGTTATAGATAGGCATCATCTTTCAATCGTCTCAAATAATTTAAGAACAGTTTTAATGGCATTCGTGTTATCAATTAACAACTAGGGGAAACAAACTGATTTCCAGTGATTTCGAGTTTCGGTGAGTATCGACTGACAGTATTTTTAGTCACATCATCATCCTCAATCGAAATCGCACGATGAATTTCTTAGTCCAGACGAAATCGAGATTATGCTAGCTATAATAAAGCACACCCGCACCCTCAAGATTTTTTGTGTAGATTTCTTTATGATGCTGATGCATGATATCACCTATATTTATTCATATATTAGAACAATCGTTTTTTTTCTTCAAATTACTAAAAGAATTTAAATAAAATGAATATTTGTATCCCAGATATACATGTATATGTATATATACGTTGATGATAGATAAAGCCATGTTTGACAGCCAAAAAAACTATAAAGTAAATCAAAAGTTGTTTTTAATATTTTAAATAATTATCAAATTACTTTGTATGCTAGTATATGCATGCTCTTTATCTACTATTTTAAGACACTTGTTAAATAGTTACACATATTGACGATCTGTTGTTGATTTGATACCCAAGACAGATGACTTTCATTATGCATTTCAATCAGTCGAATACATTTGTGATTCATAAATGTGTCTAGACAATTAAATGTTGAGTTAACGTAGTATTGAGATAACTCCAGTTGATCTCTTAACCATTCATCCTTATTCATCTTTTTGGCTTTAAACAATACAATATTTATATTCATAGTGGTTATATTTAACCCAAACGCCTCGTTCTCTATCTGTGGTAAATAGGAATGGTTTATTTCGCCAATTGTATCTATTTCATGCATGGTGCCAATTTCAAAAGAAGCATTGTGTGTGTTAAAGTAAGAGTCAATCATAAATATATTAGCGATTCGGTCGCCAGCGTTATTTAACTGACGAGAAATTTCAAACGACAAAACTCCACCAAAACTCCAACCTAGAAAATTATACGGACCATTGGACTGAATTAGTTTTATATACTTTATGTATAAGCGAGCTAATGTTTCGAATGATAAGCCTTTTTCCAATTTTTTTTCTTTAAGATTATGATAATAATTGTTGAATAATACCAGTTTATATGCTGATAAATAAGGAACAATATTATTGAAATAACTTTCAGCACCACCATTCCCAGGCGGCAAAACGAACAAAATTGTATTGGCATTAGTATTTAGTAAAACAAATGGATGCTCGAAATCATTTGAATAATCTATTTCAATAAGTGACTTCGTCGTAAAGCAGTCGTCAATGATATTTTCGAGCTTTGATTTAAATGAGTTGGCAAGTTGTATTGTTCTATCAGAATTCAGTCTGCTCGTGATATTGAATCGCATTTGCCCTTTCATGCAAAGTCCGTTTACCGCTATAACATCACCGTCAAAATCATCCTCTGCATGTTCATTTCCAACAATGCCATCAGTTAAATACCATCGTCTAGTCGACGATGCTGTTTCGAACTGGCCAAGATAATTGAAACTAACTCGTGGCAAGTCTTGGTCTTTGTAGCCAATGATTGTACCATACCCGATTCCTTTATTAGGTACTTGCATCAAATGCGCTTTGATATTCATGATACTTCGCATGAGATCATCATCAATTTCGAGAAGAACCGGATACATCGTTGTAAACCAACCCACGGTTCGACTGATATTTACATTGTCGTCACCAATATCTTCACGACCATGACCTTCTAAAGTCACATAATTAATTCGATTTTCTGTTAGTTCTTTGAGAGCATAACCAAACGCAGTAAGCAACAATACGTTGATATTTGTACCGTAAGCCTGTGGACAATCTCTCAAAAGGCTACATGTTTGTATCGTATTGAGTGTGATACTTGTCGCATTCGTTGTCAGTCTACTGGCAGATACCACAGTGTGCTTACTTAAATTGTCATTAAAACAGCACATATTGCTCACAAGATTACGCCAGTACAGCTCTTCGGTCGTTGATTTACGCGTTCCATACGATTGAACGCAGCGTGACCATTCCCCGTAGCTACTACCTTTCTTGCCTAAGTTTGACGATCCATCATAGAGGCGCCGCAGATCATCACATATTATTCGCCAACTAACTGTGTCAACGATTAAATGATGCATTGAGAACCAAATCTGCCCCTTGTCCTCAGCAAAACCACTTAGATAACCAATAGCGAACAGGGGCCCGTTCTCGATATCAAATTGACTCTGCCATTTAGTTAATGTATCGTGCAATAGTTTATTACTATTTTCATTTTGTTCTAGACTACGAACGTCCAAACGATTGAGACGTAATAGACCTCGAATATGTATTGAATCATCATAGTACTGGCAGTATTTCGTATCATCTAACCGCTTAAATCTCAACTTGAAGGCATCGTGATAATCGATCAATGTCATCAAGCAGTCGTTCAACTTGCTTTGATCCAGATTTGGTGTTTCAATTAGAAATGCTTGATTCCAGTGATTGATTCCTACTGTACACTTCGCAAAGAACCATTCTTGTATTGGCACCAAAGGTACTTCACCAGGCAAAACCCCTTGCTCAGAACGCTGCGTGTCACACACCTTTATCACTTTCGGAATGAAATTCTTCAAACACACGTTGTGGCACAAGCTATCGATAGTCCTGAATGAAAAAACATCTCTTATGGACACATCCAGGTTCAAATCCTTCTCAATTCGACCAACTAGTTGCACTGAACTGACACTATCGCCTCCCATTCGAAAAAAGTCATCTTTTATGCCAACTTTCTCAATTCCGAGTATATCCGACCATATTGCGCAAAGCGTGACTTCTAATTCATTTCTAGGTGCACAGTAATTGTTTTCATCCACAAAAAAATCCAATTCTGGTAATGCTTTTGTATCCAATTTACCATTTATGGTCAATGGGATTTTCTCTATTCGAATCAATCGATTTGGTACCATGTGATCCGGCAATTTGCTTTGCATGTACTGTATTAAATCAGATTCGTCGGTCACATTATCGGAATTATAATATCCAACCAAATATTTCGTTCCTGCCATGTCCATATTTCTCGTTTTGTGTTCTTTTGCTAGAACAACGGAACGATTGACTCCTTGATACGAAGCTAGAACTGATTCGATTTCACCCAATTCAATTCTCAATCCTCTAATCTTCACCTGTAGATCGTTTCTACCGAGATACTCCAATTCACCATCGGGTAGCCAACGAACCAAATCGCCTGTCTTGTAAATACGTGCATTCTTCCCTGTTTTCTTTTCTTCATCCGTCTGGAATGGACTAGGTAGAAACCGTTCATCAGTTAATTTAGGTCGATTCAAATAACCTCTCGATAAACAATTGCCTGTCAAGTACAGCTCACCAATCGCATATATCGGCAACATTTGTAGGTTATTATTCAATACAAATCTCTTTGTATTAGACAAGAGAGAACCTATCGAGTTTTTATATTTCATTCCGTTCATATATACATACACCATATTGTACACAGTACACTCAGTAATTCCATAAGCATTTATTATTTTACCATGATATTCTCTTCGAATTCTTTCAAAGACCCTTTCAGGTAATTCTTCACCGGCAACACTTAACGTTCGTAAATATTTCAGTTGCTTCAAATTAATATGTTGTAGATGAGAAGGTGTGATGCTTAAATAAGTCAATCGATTTTCATTCAGACATAAGTAGAATTTCTCGTCAATCGTAGATATATTTTCTGGAACTATCAATGTATTCGAACTGAGGATTGATAATGCTATTTGCTCTATCGATACATCAAAGCAATAGTTGGCAAGGAACAAAATGGCTTCAGGCAAAGGTTCACTATCATTATTCTCAAAAAATTCCAATTTTACGTCGTTCCTGAACGAAGCAACACTTCCATGCTGAACCATAACACCTTTCGGTTGACCTGTCGTACCCGATGTATATATGACATAAGCCAAATTGTCTTTAGTGGTATTTAGATCAGGATTGAAAGTCATTCGATTATTGTTTACCAATTGATTAACTAGTGGACAATCGACTGCAATTTTCATAATGTCATGCCGATCTAATCGTGTCATATATTTTTTGTTTGTGATCATTATTTTGGCCTTCGTATCTTGTAAGATGAATTGAATCCGTTCGTCTGGATAAGTAGGATCAATAGGAACATAGGCTGCACCAGATTTCCACACAGCCAGTATGCTCACAATCATCAGCTCACTTTTATCCAACAACAATGCAATTAAATCATCCGGTTGAATATCATATATTGATCTTAAATAGTGTGCCAATTGATTCGCTTTTTCGTTCAATTCCCGATAAGTGAGCTGTATATCGTTGTAGACAATAGCAATTTTATCACAAGATTTTTCTACTTCTACTTCAAACAGTTTGTGGAGTGTTATTTGTGTGCACGATTCCGTAACGTTTGTCAATGTCTCGCTCCAATCGTTGATCATTTTCAGTTGCGCCTTTGGCAATAAAGACAAGTCAGAGACACGCATTACTTGACCATCTCCAATTTGAATCAACAGTACATTAGCTACGTCTAATAAGTCGGCAATTGTTTCGTTTGCAAATAATTCACCTGCATAATTTACAACAATGGTCACGGACCCATTTGCGACTGTTTCATAAGCGACAACGGCTAAAGGATAATCAAGTTTCTCAGCGTTGTATTTTCTTTCAAACTTGAGTAATGCTTCTTGTCTCTCAACTTTGCCTTCTAAAGTTGGATAATTTTCATAAACGAAAAGAGCATCGAATAAAGCGTGCTTCATTTTTCCTTTACTTAGTTGAGAGAAATCGACATTACTTCGAGTAATCATTTCGTTCATCTTATCTTGAATAGTTTTTATTGCATTAATGAGTAATTCGTCCACACCGTGATTTACAATTAATGGTAGTGTATTAATGAATAAGCCAACTGATGTTTCGACATCGTTAACTGGAATGTTACGACCGGATACTGTTGTTCCAATAATTGTCTGACTGCTGTTGCCATAAATGCTCAGTATTTTATGCCAAACAAATTGTAGAATCGAACTTAACGTTAGGCCACTTTGACGGCATATGTCTTTCAGACTTCTATAAAGGTTGCCGTTGATTATCATTGTCCTCGATTGTGGCTGTTTCACATGATCGTATTGATTGAGCATCACCTTATTCTTGATCTCTGCTTTTAATAAACCAGTCAAGTCACATCTTTCTTCTATTTGGTCTATTTCATTTTCCCAATAATCAATATTATCGAGACGATGCTTTTGCAAATATATTTGTGCATTTTCATAGCTCTCATCACGAAGCGAAGAAGAAGCAGAACGCGTTAATGGTAAGGATGCGTGTTCACTCTCAATCAAGTTCAAATATTCTTGATGAACATAGTCAAGCAATATTGGCAAACTCCATCCATCTAGAATTATGTGATGAAAACTGAGAATCAATGCATATAAGTCAGTCTTTTGTTGAATCAAGTAAAGCCTAAACAGATTTCCGATGTTTAATTTAAATCTCTCATTTC